ACACGCGGATACATCTCGATTGAACTTCGAATTCCTAAGACAATGGTTACAGCTCTAGCTGGACAATCAAACCTCATTCGCTGTCAGAATCACCTGTCAACATAATGTGCATTTCTCCTCGAAGGTTTGACTGTGAGGCGACTGCCGTTAAGGAAGTGGCAGACCTCCAGCACGCCCTCCTTGAAAGCTGTGTTGTCAGCAAATGTGACGAAGCCGAAGCCGCGGGACTGGCCGGTGTCCCGATCGTATACTACTTGGGCCTTTGTTACCCTGCCGAACGCAGAGAAGTAGGCCTCAAGCTGAGACTCTGTGACCTCTGGTGTTAGGTAGCCCACATATATATCTGGGTGGTTGGAGGATTGTGCACTAGCATCGCTGATTGTATTCTCGTCCTTGGACTGGCAGTCATCGTTTTCCGTCTTGGATACTGAAAATCCGAATCTATGAAGTAAAATAACAAGAGTAGGTTAGGCAAACCTGGTGCCTCTGATGTCGTCTGACACTGTATGGATACATTCCGTACGGCTCATAATTCGTTCAACAGGCTGACATTTGCGAAATATTGATACTCACTCTCTTATCGGCAAGGGTAAGGTGCTCGTTAGGTAGAACATTTCGCCGTCTTTAAATCATATAGTTTTGGTTTTTTTCATTTTTTATAAATTTCCGAATAATTTTGGAACCTACTTACTGCTACTCCTGAATTAAGGGTTAAAAAACTGAGCGCTGTTTACTTCCTGTTTAAAGACAAGTTGAGGTAGGAGTCACATGTTTCTCATAAAATGTTGCCATATAGGTGGATTATGCTGTGTACATTATAGAAAGCAATAATTTATTGACAGATATTATAAGTGAACAGTCCACACCAGTAATTATCTCATAAGTAGACTTTTTTCTTTACCCGAAGGATACCCTTTTCTTATTTATAACATTTAACGAAGGAGTGTGTTTATCTAAAATATAACTGTGGTTCTAGAAATTCAATTAACATCGACTGACATGTGGTTTTACATGTTATCAACCTGACTATATGAGTCAGACATTCGGCTGCACCCTAAACCATTTTGCAGTACGCGACATAATGTTAATACTCCCATAGTTGTCACAAAGATGATGGGGTAAATAGTCCATAATATATTTGTAATGTATACATAACTTCACAAATTTCACCCTACATTTTAATGGTAAAACATGCACGATGCAAACATCTCCCAGTACGTAAAACTGAAAATTCGCTTGTTTACCTGTATTCAAAGCATACCCAAAGAGGGTCAATTTACAGATGGTCGAAAGGCAAAAAAAAGTTTGCCAATTGATTTGCGTAGGGTGCAGCACCACACTTAAATCAAATAGGTCTGCCGTCTCCAGGCCCTCTCAGTGCAGTGCATTCTGTCTGGCTAAATTAACATAATGCTGCTCACTACCAGACCCCAAGTTAGCAGCGGTGAC